TATTATAACTTCGAGTTTGACTTCATTTTGTTGTAAATTGAACTTGTTATAAAGACTATGTATAATCTTCATGTAAATGAAGAAAATGGTGTTACCTTATATCATAATATTGATGTTCATAACCATGGAATGTAGTATGTTATTGTGGTGCATTGGGACAGGTTTTTAAATCAAGCTTAAACCTTTACAGGGGTTATTGTACACTTTGGAAATTCCGGTATCAGGTCCTGGGCTCTCGGAGCCATTTCGGTCGACCGAAATGGCACTTCCGTTGACCAATTCTTTTACAAGCCTCGGGACTTTGCATTTCGGCTGACAGAAAAGGCCATTTCAGTCGACCGGTTCAGGGTTATTTTTTAGGCCATTTTGGCCGACTGAAACCCCATTTTGGTCGACTGAATGAGGCTGCTTGTGCATTTTGTTCCTCTTTTGGTTTTGTAAGTTTCCCCAAGTCTTGGAATGTCGTCTAGCACCTTAAAAAGCAAATATAAGATGTAAGGATGATGTTTTGACCCAAGATTTGAGGTGATTGACTTAGGTGACCTTAGGTTCGGGTAAGGACCCGATTAACGGTTCAGACCCTCAGGTTCGGGTCGTTACATAGAAGATGTTAAATCTTCAATGTGCGATTCGTTACACACAACAATAGCATCATAAATCATACTAAATCAATCCACCATCTTAGTAAACCACAAGTACTAAATCTACTATAATTTAGTAACAAGCTCACAAGGCAAATATAAATGATATTCTACATGACTCCATTATCATGTCAAGATAAATCTCTAGAATTCAACAAGTTATTAAACACCATAAAATCTCTACATAATATATATATATATATATATATATATATATATAAACTATACATGCTTTAAATCATAAAATCTAAGTCAAGCATATAAAATCTCTATTTATATGCAATACAACAATTCCACAAGCATGTGATCAATATATATTAAACTCCATAAACACTAAAACACTTAAAATATAAACATACAACAACCTTCTACCTCACTAGAGAATGGAATCTCTAGAATCCAAGGCAACCAAAGGTAAAATGAAAAACCAAGCAGGGATGTTCTAGCGGAGGAAGAGGGGAAGCTTTTGTATTTCAAAAGCTAAGCCAAAAGGTGAGAGGAAGGGGCTTGAAATCAAAGGTTAAGGTCTAGGGTTTCAAGGAACAACAATTGAGGCAAGGTGAAAGATTAGAGAAGATGAAAATAAAATCTCTAATTTCTTCACTCACACTAGTCAAAGATAGTAAAAAAACACACACACTCATACACTACCCCTCTCACATACAATTGAAAGACTCCATATTGGCCCTCCACTTGCCTCATAAGATCTCATGTAAGGCCTACACTTGTCACTATTGTAAGCCTCCTCCTAAGGCTTATCTAAGCCCTACACTTGTCTACATCCTAAGCCAACAAGTGGACCAATCCTAGGCCACCAAGTGGGTGAATCCTCACCCTCCACGTGTCAGCATCCAAGGCTCCCAAGTGTCACCAATGGGATGCCTACAAGTGGACCAATAAGAGTGTGACACTTGTCACGCTTTTTTTAAAAATTGCAAAAAGGTCCCTCTACAAAATATCTCACAAAATAAATTGCAAAATGGTCCCTAAGAAAAATATCCCAAGAAAATTTAATTAACCAAAACACCACGTAAAACAAAAATGTTTCCGAAGAAACTATGCATCCATGCCCCTACGGGAAAAGTAAACAAGTAGCATAGTTTTTTACAAAAGTATAATTACGCATTTCATGGAAACTAAATGTATTGGATGCACGTGAAGTCAGAAATCAAATCCAAACTCAAAACCAAACCAAAATCCTATCTCGGGTCTCTAAAACCCTAAGGTTACACGAAAAAAAAATGCCGAAAAAATAAAAGAAGGAAAATGACCGGGTCATTACATTACGCATTCAAGGAATGGTTTAATGATCACAGCAGTGGGTGACAGACTGCCGAACTTGAATTTTTAGTTTTGAACCTGGGCATAATGACCAACAGTTGGATGGGACAGAAATTAGATTTTGTAACCCATTTGATAGATTTGTTTCAGAACTCCACATACTTCTTTGACTAGTTGAATATATTTATTACTCACACTGACACAGGAGTTATATATAGTATTAATGGTTGATGTTAGTACAATTGAAAGGAAATGTTGATATCAATAATAGGAGGATGACTCATTCTTTCCTTATAATATATGAATATAATAATTCCAGCTAATTGTAACTAATTCTAAAATTTTAATTTCACTTTCTATTAAACATTCACAATTCTATCCTAATGTAAATTTTGTTCCTCCTCCCACCTTTCTATTAAATATATATTTAACTAATAATTGTGAAAAATAATTTTTAATTAAATTGAAAAATAATACTACTTGAACAATAACACAATTGTGAAAATAAAATATTATTCACTTAGATATTTGTTGCCCTACTATCAAACCGTTTCATTTAAATAATATTATTCATATATTAAGGACAAATCCATCACAAAAAACTGTTTTACACTTTCTCATTAAAATTTTCAATTCTTATTAAATTATTTTTATTATCTTTTATCTTATACAAATATCAAATATACTATTTACCTCAATTTTTATTTTTAGTAACAATTTATAAAAAAATTTAAAAAGAATACATAAATTTATTTAAATATGTTCAATTATTTAAGTTGGCTGGAAATTGAGTGTCTAAATAAAAAATTTGCATTACACACCCACATTTACACATACATTAACAAATGAAACAGAAAAATACAACCGCAATGGAGTTTTTGTTATGGAAAGGAAATATGTAATTTACGGTGGTAAAAATTCTACTTGTATACCCACATTAGACTACATCTTTACACGACATGGTCGTATTTCATTGGTCAATTGCATGATATGCATATCACATTGACACAGATTGCATAAAACATTATCCTCGTTAATGGGATTGTCATGCCAATTAACAGAACACAAAGTTGGACAACATGACCGATAATAAGCGAGAATAGGGGACCAACATAACTTTCCTTCACTAATGACTGATTTCATCCTCAAGCGGGCTTGTTTTAGGCAGGAATCTGCTAGGTGATCATGCTTAATCTTAGTGAGCATGTCTACGCCCTCTTCTACGTCAGCCTCATCGCCATATAGATAAATAATCCCAACCGCAAACCGGCAAGCAACATGTTCCAAGTCCACACCCATTGGAAGGTAATCGAACCCCTTACTAGTTCTAAAATTTTTTAACAATAACTCATGTGACTCAAATTGAAACAGGTATGTCACGAACGAAAAAAATGAAATGTATTGATATCTTTATAGTATTAGGGATATATAAACATACCATTCCTACCACAAACATGGCATCCGCATTGTCATTCGCGATACATTTGGTGAGGAAGCGACATTCTGGTTTCTTTATATTGAAATCACCTCGCCGTTTAATTGATTTTAGTGAGGTAAAGGGCAATTGTTGTAGAGTGAGGGGTGCATTGCATAATCGATAGAGCTTCTTAGAACTGAACATAATGTGTAACAATATTTTTTAGATAAATTATTACAAAACTTATTAGTCGAATGATGACTTTGATACCCTAAACCATAAAAAATGTAAAGGAAACAAAAATTTAATTGGATAACATAACATACATTATACATAGGATTTGCTACAAGAAGAGAAGAAAAGAAAAAAAAAAAACATGGAAAATAACACAATACATACCATCGCTGCAATGATAGTAAGTCCGATACACTATTCACAGCGACAAAACTAGCAACTTTGGACACCAAGTCATCGGTTAGACGATCCATTAATTAATAATGACTAATATTTACAAGTTACTTCGGAAGAGCAAAACACAAGATTATATTGGAGGAGTGGAGAACAAGCATAAACTATTGTTGTTTTCTTAGAAGCACACACAAACACAAATATGTGAGGGGAAACAATCCTTTTATGGACATATAAGAATTAGAACCTATTAATTATGTATATGTGATAGTATTAAATAAAATAATTAAAATAATACATGGTCACTCCACATATAAACGCAACTAATATAGGCCTATTAATTATATGGACTTCTTCTCTGTAAGATGCTTTGGGCTAAAGGCCTTATTTTCCCTTGCGTCAATATATAATACTATAAAATTCAAGCCAGGTTTACTTTAACATCAACCATCAAGTGTATTTAAAGCCCAACAACTACGGTAAGTAACCAATTAAATAATTTAAGTACATACAACAATACAAGAAAAAAGGTCTTTTACAAGTGTTTGGACCTCCCGTGAAAACTTTTTCACGGGACTTCTGAGCCCCTTGTCTATTATGGTCCTATAAATACTCTCCACTTGCTACGGGAAATAATAACACTAGCAAAAGATTAGAGCACGACGATTCTAGCGTTTCGTAATTAAAACTATCATGAGATTACTACCCTTTCATTAATAATTAATTTACGAGACTACTAACTTCTCATTAATAATTAATTTATGAAAAAAGGTCTTTTACGAGTGTCTGGACCTCCTGTGAAAACTTTTTCACGACCTTTGAGCCCTCGTCTATTATGGTCCTGTAAATACTCTCCACTTGCTACTAGAAATAATAACACTCGTAAAAGATTAAAGCACGACCATTCTAGCGTCCCGTAAATAAAACTCTCACGAGATTTCTAGCCATTTGTTAATAATTAATTTACGACACTACTAGCCTCTCGTTAATAATTAATTTACGAGATTAATGACCTTCTGTTAATAATTAATTTACGAGATATATGAAGTGTCGTTATTAATTAATTAACGAGTTGTTTATCCTTTCGTTAATAATTAATTTACGAAACTAATAACCTCTTGTTAATAATTAATGTACGACACATTTGGCCTCTCGTCGATACATCTATATATATATATATATATAATAAATGCACTCTGCTACCTAATCATTTACATATATAACCTGACCACAGTTTAAACTAAACAATAATATAGAATGCTAAAAATTTACACTTAATGCCATTACCAAAAATAATCCATGTTTAAATTCACCATTAAACATATCAAAAGAGTAAGGCATTAATTTACAATTCATCATTAATTGTTCAACGTGCCAAAATTAAAAAGAAAATTCAATATTTCCCTGAAATTGATATTAATCTTCACATTGTTCATTAATTCCTCGCGTAAGTTGACTTCCAATTTTTCACACTTCCTCCACCTCGTTATCCATTGTACAAAATCCAAGTACGTACCTGCATCACACAAGTCCTAATTTTAGTATGATAATAATGTATATGAAGTAATGATAAAATGCTAGTTTTCTATTTCATACTCTCTAAAATATTTACCATGGTGTGAACATCAAAAATAGAGTCTCACACTTTGAGAAGCCAACAATCAAAAAACCCCCAAAAAGAAACATGCAATCCACATGACCATGCTTTGCTAGGGACTCAACTCCGTCATTTAATCGTCCAATTCTAGATAGAACAAAAAGGTCAAAAAAGGGCAAACACTCGGCAAGTGCAAGTTCCGCGTCTACAACTTGATTACCAAGAATGTAAACTACCAATAAAGGTTTAGACATAGAATGTAAGAAACATAACTGTTATGCTCTTTTAAATCTCTAAGGCATATTGATAGTTTGACATCAAAGAAAAAATAACAACTTTAAGATGGAACAAATATAGTTAACAGTTGTAAAATAACAACAAAGCTAAACTCATGCTAGTAATTAGTTCAATAGGACATATTGGAGAATTCATTGGCTTTAACATAATATACTACAAGAAAAACGTATTGGAGAACTTATTAGAATCATATCAACTAGTGAAATTTTTGTATAACATACAATTCAACAAAAAAAAAAAAGACAGAGAAAAATTTAATCAATGATTTGCTATCATTTTTGTTCTTGTTCTTCCCTTTATTGAAATTATATCAATGGCATTATCTTTATCGCTTTGTAATTTTCTTTAATAATGCACTTAACTATTAGATCCAATCATCCAAATAAAATAGACCAGAAGTTTAAAATAAAGGGGAAACATGAATAATACCAATATGCAAGCAATGAAGAAAAATATTATGAAAACGAATGAGTATTTCAAAGTTACACTTTAGAATTGTTTTGTTATATAATTTGCATTACCATGATTGTTGTTCTCTATTCATCTCTCTCCCTATAAAACAAAAAGAAAGCACAAGAAAGGAATAATTTCTTAGAAAAGGCTCTTTTTACCTGATAATAATTATGATAAGAAATAGTGTTATTTTCCATACCCCTGAACGGGGATAACTGGGTAAATTCTATCTTCTTCCAGCCTAATTTATAATTTATCTTTTGAAAATTTTGAAGATTTAACTTATCCAAGAAATCCCAAATGCATATAATGTTGTAGTTTATTGCTTGGTTCAACTGTAATTACCTTGTGCCATTCCTTATCTCTTTCATTCCTGCCAAAGACGTGACAAAAATATAGCTCTAATTTATATAAGGCCTAAACTTTATAATTAGTTAATATTATGAGCAAAGAAATAAGATATTGGGAACTTAAGAAAGATTATTTCTTGCCCCATTTACTACATATATATGTGTATATATATATATATATATATATATATATATATATTTGATAAGTACTAATAACATAAAAAGGCGTTCAAAAGGGGAACGCGTCCCTTTTACAAAAATGGAACCGGGACTAAGGCCCAAAGAATCCAAAAAAATAATTATATCATCAGAAGAAGAGCAAGAACTTCTCTTCACATAATTGAATAGAGAACAAAGAATGTGATGTTTCACCATTGCCGTAGATTACTCTTTATCTTCAAACATTCTACTATTTCTCTCCTTCCAAATACACCACCAGACACAATATGGGATAACTCTCCAGAAATCGCGACATCCCTTCTTACGTGACAACCTCTCCATACATGAATCAATTCCTTAGTAGATCGTGGCATTACCCAACATATGCCAAATAACCCAAAAATAAGATTCCAACAGTCATTCGTTACAGGGCAATGCATAAGGAGGTGGTCAATAGACTCCCCATCTTTCTTGCATAGACAACACTGATTAACAATATAGTTTCCCCTTTTCCTTAAATTATCAATTGTCAAAATCTTTCCCCAAACAACGGTCCAAACAAAGAAAGTCACCCTAGTTGGAGCCATGGATCACCAAATAGTTTTCCACGAGAAAACATAATTAACAAAATGAGATAGACATAAGAATAGGGATCTTAATTCGGAACGACCGTGGGAAGAAGGAACCCAAATCAAATCATCATTTCCTCTGCCAACACCCTCCTGCCGATACAGAAGATCCAAAAAAACACATACCTCATCTATCTCCCAATCCTGAAAAGAGCACCAAAAGTACTCATCCCACGTAATCCCACTGCTATCAAGATGATAACAATGAGCTACAAAGGCGTGTTTATCAACTGCAATACTAAATAATCTAGGAAATAAACGAGATAGTGGTTGATCACCACACCAAAGATCTTCCTAAAACTGAACGCGACGTTCATCACGAACTTTGAATCTGATGTGAGCAGAAAAGGCATCCCAACCCTTCCGAATAGACTTCTACATCCCTACTCCTCCCACAAGAGTAACCGGACGTGTAAACTAGCCTCCATCTTCTTCCCCAAACCGACAGGAAACTAACCTGTGCCAAGGACGGTGTCTTTCCCTTCCATATCTCCATAACCATTTTCCTAAGAGGGCTTAATTAAAAGGAACTATTTGTCTTATGCCAAGTCCACCTAATTTCACAGGCTTGCAAACTTGTTCCCATCTGACAAGGTGATACTTGAACTCATCTCCCCTTCCTCCCTATAGAAAATCCCTTAAATTTTTTTCAATCTTATCCGCAATGGAACAAGGGATTTGGAACATAGAAAGAAAATAAGTGGGAAGACTCGATAACGTACTCTTAATAAGAGTAACTTTACCCCCCTTGAACAAATATTGCTTTTTCTATCATGCTAATCTCTTCGCATACTTGTCAATCACTGAATCCCAACTCCCCACTATCCTTAAAGAGACCCTTAAGGGCAACCCCAAATAAGGAATAGGAAAAGAACCCACCCTGCATCCAAGAACTGCAGCTAAGGAGGAGATATCCTGAACATTCCCTACTGGGACAAGCACACTCTTAGCTACATTGACTTTTAGCCCGAAGACCGCCTGAAAATAAGTAAGGATGCATCTCAAATAACGAAGTTGAGACACATCAGCATCACAGAAAACTAGGGTATCGTCTGCGAAAAGTAAATGAGAAATCTCTATCTGATGGGCTAAGTCTCTACCCACTCTGTAATGACCCGGTCATTTTCTTCTTTTCTTTTTCCCTCAAATTTTACAGATAAATTTTTTCTGCTGTCTTTTCCTTTCGATGTTTGGTTTCTCATCACTTAGTGTCATCTCGAGTGTTCAAAAATGGATTCCGAGACTCTTTTATTTGGATTGACAACTTCCCTTGAGAACCGAGTCATTCCCACATTTTTCGTTTTTTGACATTATTCACTTTTCGACCTTTTTCCTATTTTGTCTTTTCTCGGTTTCCTTTTTCATTGCATAACCTCACTTTTTGTGCTCGGATTTTATTCTGACTTTGCATTCATCCATGATATTTATTTTTTATGATATCTACATTTTTACTTTTGTAGAAAAGCATGCTAGATGTTTACTTTTCTTGTAAAGGACATTGATGCATAACTTATAGGAAATATTCTTGACTTTTGGTGTTTTAGTGTAATTTTAGAAAGTAATTATTTTTCATCTTAGGGACCTTTTTGCAATTTAATTTGGAAGATATTTTGAAAAATGACCTTTTTACAATTTTTAAAAAATGTGACAAGTGTCACATTCTCATGGTGCCACTTGTTGGCATTGTGGTGGAAAGACTTGGAAGCATAATCTTGCAACACATGGAGGGTGGAGATTCGCCCACTTGTTGGCCTAGGATTGGTGCACTTGTTGGCTTGGATGGTTGACAAGTGTAGGCTTAGGATTAAGCCTAGGAAGGAGCCATTGATTAGTGACAAGTGTAGGCACCAAAATGAGTCTTGCATTAGTGTGTGTGAGAGGTAGTGTAAGAGCACCTAGTGAGTGGAGGATTACTAGATCATCCATTCACCATTTTTTTCACTTTATCTCTTTCATTACACTTGTTCTTCAAAACCCTAACCTAGCCACCATTGAAGAAAAGCTTGGTTAAAAGCTTGTTCCATCATTTTGGCCTCCTTCCACTCACCTTAGATCTTAAACCTTGGGAGGTAAAAGTTTCCTCTTACTCTCCTCTACAAAACCCTTGAAGGATCTATCCTAACTCCTAGTTTTGCTTTGGTATCTAGAGATTCAATTCTCTAGTGAGGTATTGATCTATGTTTTTGAAGTATTTTTATGTCATTATTGAGTGTTTTACATGCATAGAAGAGAAGAACTTGTATTCCGCCCTTAAACTATTTTAACTTGAAATTAATCTTGTCAAATTAAATATAGAATATGAAAATATAATCAATTATCTTTCATTTAGTTTTGGTTTCATGTAATTTGGATTTTAAATGAATTAGTTATGAATTTTTGATTTTCCAAGCTAGTTGTTGGAAATTTAAATCTTTTCCTTATCTGGTCCGGAAATGAATTTTTATATGGAGCTATGTTGCTTCAATGGTCATGGGTCTTACACTACTCATAATTTTTTTACGATTTTAGAGCATGACTAAATTTTATTAAAAATCTAAAACTATCTGCTGTCCATATTTTTATTGCAGCTGGAAAACATATTTTTAGATGATTTATTTCACTAACCTTTTGACATTGGATCATGGTTTAAATTTCCAATTTTGCACTCTCATATATTAAGTTTTCCCAAAATAAATTAAGTTTTCCCAATTTGGATGTCAAATGAATTTTTCATAAATTTTCAAAGTTAGAAGCTACAGGCTAAAAATGTGTTTTCTGGGTAGAATTTGTTTCGAAGTTGTGGGTCAAAACTGTTTCAATTGGGAAAGTATTTTGTTAAACTAAATTGATATTATCAAATTACAGTGTGTAATATTTCATTAGGCTTTGGATTCATTCAATTTGGATTAGAATTGATTTTTTTATGAATTTTCCGAGTTGAAGGTAACAAGCTGAAAAATCTGTCTTGCGGACCAAAAAAATTTGGGGCAATTTCATTTCGGTGGTAATTGAGATTTTCATTCCAATTAAGGTAGGGGATGTTTTAGGATTTTGTGTGTGTTGCATTGAGTGTTTTTCATGATTATACAATTTATTTGCATGCCTTGTATCAAATCTAGAAAATTAGTAATATTTAATTCTTTGTATAAGATTAAATTTACAAAGATGTATATAGCTTAGAATTAAATTGTGGCATGATGATAAATTAGGCCTTAATATGTTTGTTAACATATATTAAATTTTGGTCATTTGCATAAGAATTGCAACTTTTATTTAATAT